CTTGTTAGCTAGAAAGCTGACAGCCCGGGTTTGAGACCTGAGTGTCACACAACGGGGGTGTCATGCCTCTGTTGGAGCCTGAATCTGCGGAGGAAAATGAGCTGGAACGGGATCCTATGGAGGTCAAGGGAGAGGTGTCTGTGGCTTCAGAGAAATGTAGGGAAGAGCAGGCCGAGGCAGGCCAGGGCCCTTCAGGATTGGGCCAGGAGGAACAGGAGAGGCAGAGTTCAGGCGATGAGCAAGGGTCACCCCCACCTGATCCTAGAGCATGGAGAGTGGAGAGAAGGAGGGAACAACGCAGGCAGGCTCAGCTACTCGGAAGGAGAGCGTCCCGCCCCTCTCCACAAGGAACACCTGGAGACTGAGACTTAAGGAGACGCTATGGGGAGAGGCATTTGTCGGGAACAAACGCTGATTCCTTGGAGTATTGTGTGTGTTGTTGCTGATCTCTTGTTCTGTGACTTCTGCTTGGAAACCCAGAAACTCTGACCATTGGACTGGCTGACAACGTTCCTTGGATGTTCAAAGATCTCAGACTGTATTTTGGCTTCCCTTTTGAAACTGCTCAGGCAAGCGTGTATTCACACAGACTGGTTAGGTTTATGATGTATGTGTCATTCCGTGTTATCTCTGTGGCCTTGAGCAAATTTCTCTTCTAATCAGACTGTGTGTGAAACTACTTGCAGCCAGAGGTGTGTGTGTCTTCCTTTGTTTGGAGGCTTGCCAGAAACGTGGGAGCATTTGGGAAAAATTTGGAGCAATTAAAGGGCGGTTTGAATTGCCAGCTGACTGCACTGCCTCTGAGTCATCACAGGGGGAGAGTTCCCATTCCTTGCCTCAGCTCCTGCCCATTTAGCAATTCGAAAGCAGGAAAATGCGAATAGATCAGTGATGGCGAACCTTTTAGAGACCGAGTGCCCAAACTGCAACCCAAAACCCACTTATGCATCGTCGGCTGCCGGGTGGGTGTGGCCCATTGGGTGGGCGTGGCTGCGGTGGTAACGGCAGACTGGGTGGGACTAAAAAGTTCAGTCAATCAATTCCAACTTTGCAAGATCTTTTTTTTCCCCCGCGAGAAGTTGAAATTGACTGATTGATTGAACTTTTTTTTTTTTTTTTTTTGCACATAACGGTGGAGGCCTAAAGCGAAAAGGTTTTATAAAACCCAGCTGAAGGCCTAGGACTGGGGCGACGGCACGCGTGCCCACAGAGAGGGCTCTGAGTGCCGCTTTTGGTACCCGCGCCATAGGTTCGCCACCACTGAAATAGATGAATAGGTACCACTTCAGACAATGCTGCCTCCCTCCGCCAAGAAACAAAGATGAGCACCGCACCCTACGGTCAGACAAAACTGGATGGGGAAAGCTTTATTTTCCACCTTTACCTTAGTAAATTGTTAGTCCGTATTCTGAAGCTTCTGACTTGGTTGGAGCAGCTTATCCAAACCAGGGGCTCATTCAGGTTTTGTTTATTTCATGCATCCCATTTGGAAGCCCCTCCATCTCACTCGCAGAGCGAGACGACCTCGTGGCTTCTCTGCCCTGCACGATTTCACCTCTTGTTCCTAGGAGCAAATGATGCGGAAGAAGCAGGCCATGCATCTCGACGCGCGCTACGTCACGATGGTGGAAAATGCCTACTATTACTGTAACCCTCCTCCCGCGGAGAAGACGGTGAAAAAGAAGCGCCCTCCTCTCCAGGAATATATTCGGAAGCTGCTCTACAAGGACCTCTCCAAAGTCACCACTGAAAAGGTTCCTCGTATTTCTCCTTCTGCAGCCGTGATCGATGTTGGGAAGAGATGAGCCCAGGGGTTCTCAACCTTGGCCACTTTAAGACTTGTAGACTTCAACTCCCAGAATTCCTCAGCCAGCAAAGCTGGCTGAGGAATTCTGGGAGTTGAAGTCCACAAGTCTTAAAGTGGCCAAGGTTAAGAACCCCTGGATTATCCCTTAGTTTGGGGAAGGATGAAATTAGGCAATTGGCTAAATCAGTGGTCCTCAAACGTGACCACTTTAAGACTGGTGGACTTCAACTCCCAGAATTCCCCAGCCAGCTATGGCTGGCTGGGGAATTCTGGGAGCTGAAGTCCACCAGTCTTAAAGTGGCCACGTCTGAGGACCCCTGGGCTAAATGCATTATTTTAGCATTTTTATTTCTCACTGTTTTGTAATCCTTAAAGGACGTTCTGTAAATCAGTGGTTCTCAACCTTTTTAATGCCGCAACCCCCAACCGGTCGTAAGTTGAGGACTACTCAACCAGTCGTAAGTCAAGGACTACTCAACTGGTGCAGCACCGTTTGCAGAACGGGACTTTTGGCAGGCTCAGTAGGGCAGAGACAGCCTGGACAATTCCTATTGGCTTTTGAAAGCCAATAGAATTAGACTCTATTCAAGAGAGTCTATTCTATTGGCTTTCAAAAGCCAATAGAATAAAAGGGAGTAGCACAGCTAAGGAAAAGGGGGGAAAAATGGCAGACTGCGTTGTTTGGCGACCCCCGTGAAATGGTCGTTCGACCCCAAATGGGGCCCCGACCCACAGATTGAGAACCGCTGCTGTAAATGAAGAAGCAAAGTGGAAACCGGAGGTTTAAAATTCAACAGTGGCAGTTGACTTTGTTAACTGGAACTTAGAGTGACAATGTTGAACCAATATCGGATTCAGAGACCAAATAATCTTTCTCAGATTTCTTATAGATCATTAACTTCTTCCGCATAGTTTTCTGCATTAAGTTTAATATGTATATTCTCCAGAACAGCATGCTTATTCAGTCAATAGTTTAACCCAAAATTTCTTAAGCTGGGACTACAGATAAGCTTAAAACTATCACTAAAATGCAATCATTTGGTAAGCCGGCTTGTTTGTTACATCATTTGTTTGTGGCACCTTAAAACAGTTTCTCTTGTGGAAAGTTCTTACCTGTCACAAGCTGGTAACAACCATTGTTGTTAAAAAAAATAAATAAAAAATCTTATGTTTTCCTTGAAAGGTTTTTGAATTTTGAGGGTTGCCTGTAGCTAGCAGGATGTGCCTACAGTCCCAACAGATCTGGAATTTATTGTGGTAACAGGTCATGAAGAGAATACGAGTATCAAAAACAGTGTGTTTGTTTTGGAATATTAATCAAAAATGTTCAAACATAATTCTCGATGTTCAGCAGATGTTAGGTGTAATGGACAAAATTTACTCCTGAATAGATCAGGAGCATTGATGCAATTTACTTCATTTGTGGCAAATTTATCTCGCGATGTAAACTGATATAAATCATGTGTAACAATTCAGTTATTTGGTTGCACAGCTTATTGTAGTTTGGGTTTAATGCCTCTTACTCTCAGAGGGTCCATGAAATTTACAGTACTTTAGCGCAGGGCCGTGGACCACTTCAGGTCCACAGCATGCCAGCAACCAGTCCGCACAAACAAGCAAAGCCCCATCTGTGGGATGCAGGCAGCACACAAAACCACACACCCTCCGGTCCGCGGAAAAACCTCTCTCTACGGAACCGGTCCCTGGTGCCCAAAAGGTTGGGGACTTCCGCTCTAGCAACCAATTAAAGTTATGTATCCGACCTTTTTAAGAAATGCTCTTGAGTTATTTGAAGTTCTTCAAAACTTTGCCTAGGTCCTGAGACAAATGCGCAAACTGCCTTGGCATGACCACGAAGTGAAAGATTACGTGATATGCTGTATGATCAACATTTGGAATGTGAAATATAATAGCATTCACTGTGTAGCGAACCTTCTTGCCGGGCTGGTCCTCTATCAAGAGGATGTTGGAATTCACGTGGTGGACGGAGTTCTAGAGGATATTCGATTAGGAATGGAGGTAAAGTCGTCTCTGACCGTAAAAATAAAGTTAAAGTATATTTAACTTGAATGTTCTTTTTTTTAATATAGATTTTATTAGTTTTTATAGGGTTGGAATTAAGGTGGGGTCAGGGTTAGGGTTGGGATTTGGGTTAGGGTTAGGGTTGGGGTTTTTCCAAATAACATTTTCAATATTTAGCAAACAGCCTAATGTCTGGGTACATGGATTTAATTAGCAATAATAGATATAGCTAATTATCGTAAACAATATGTTAACTAATGCTAGTATACATTCAAAATTACATGTCACGTTCCTTTCTCTCTGACTCGTTTTTCTAGCCATTGATAGAAATGATCCCATGTTCTAAAATAGTGACATGGCGTCTTCTCTCCCTTTAATCTTTAAGGTCAATCTGTCCATTTCTGCACATGTGAACGTTCTTGTGGTATGATGTCCTCGTTAATGATAACGCATAAGTGCTTGTCAGAATGAAAGACTTAAGCTTAGAACTAAATAGCTGCATCCTTGGTGTTGTAGCATCCTAGCCAAGTTCTTTTGCAGTGCTATTTTCTGCAATGTGAATGAACAGAAAATCAGAAAAGATTTGATCTTGCCGTCTCCCTCGTGGCCCCCATATGTTAAGGAAGAAAAAAAATATGTTTTATGTCACCTATTGTGGTTTCACTTAGTCGAGCCCTTGTTTGGAACTTTGCAATGAGACCAAGTGCTTATAAACATACTCCAAACGCTCCAATTACATATAAACATAGAGGTATATAAACAGACAGCAAAACCCAGTCCCTTCTAGCACTAATGATGTTCCCTAATTGGGTCATGAAATGTCTGCAAGAAAATACCAAGCTCAGAGATCAACAAGGATCCCACAGTTCTCCTCCTCCTCCTCCTCCTCTGCCTCCTCCCCCCTTCTAGCACTGATGATGTTCCCTAGTTGGGTCATGGCATGTCTACAAAACAATATCCAAGCTCAGTGAGCCTCAAGGACCCCACAGTCGTCATTCTCCTCCTCTTCTGCCTCCACGCTGCAACCCCCCTCCCTTCTAGCACTGATGATGTTTCCTAGTTGGGTCATGGCATGTCTACAAAACAATATCCAAGCTCAGTGAGCCTCAAGGACCCCACAGTCGTCGTCGTCCTCCTCCTCCTCCTCCTCCTCCTCCACCACCACCACTACCACCACTGCCTCCTCCCCCCTTCTAGCACTGATGATGTTCCCTAGTTGGGTCGTGGCATGTCACCAAGAAAATATCCAAGCTCAGAGAGCTTCAAGGACCCCACAGTCGTCATCCTCCTCCTCTTCCGCCTCCACGCTGCAACCCCCCTCCCTTCTAGCACTGATGATGTTACCTAGTTGGGTCATAAAACGTCTGCAAGAGAACAACCAAGCCAGAGAGCACCAAGGACCTTTCATTTCAATCTTGAGCTCTCTTTTATTGGAAGGGGAGAATGCTAACTGTTCTCTAACTCCACTTGCTGTTTTGTTCCTTTGAAGGTTAACCAGCCCAAATTTAATCAGCGGAGGATCAGCAGCGCTAAGTTCCTCGGCGAGCTGTACAATTACAGAATGGTGGAGTCGGCGGTGATATTTCGAACTCTGTACTCATTCACGTCGTTTGGGATCAACTCTGATGGTACACCGAGTCTCCTCGACCCCCCAGAGCATCTCTTCCGAATTAGACTGGTTTGCACCATCCTTGACACCTGCGGACAGTATTTTGACAGGGGATCTAGCAAGCGAAAACTTGATTGCTTCTTGGTCTACTTTCAGGTAGGATAACCTTTGACCTCGTGATCAGCTTCGTCTTTACAAGCTACACATTATTTCTCTCTTTGCCACGCTAAATAAAATCGACAAAAAAAGACCCGGATAAGAATGGCATCATTAAATCAGGTGGTCGAAAGGAAAAGAGGGGGAGGGAGGGAGGGAGAAAGGAGATGGATTAAGCCAGTGGTTCTCAACCTGTGGGTTGGGATCCCATTTGGGGTCGAACGACCATTTCACGGGGGTCGCCAAACAACACAGTCCGCCATTTTTTCCCCCTTTTCCTTAGCTGTGCTACTCCCTTTTATTCTATTGGCTTTTGAAAGCCAATAGAATAGACTCTCTTGAATAGAGTCTAATTCTATTGGCTTTCAAAAGCCAATAGGAATTGTCCAGGCTGTCTCTGCCCTGCTGAGCCCGCCAAAAGTCCCATTCTGCAAACGGTGCTGCACCAGTTGAGTAGTCCTCGACTTACGACTGGTTGAGTAGTCCTTGATTTACAACCGGTTGGGGGTCATGGCATTAAAAAGGTTGAGAACCACTGGATTAAGCCAAGGGAATAAGAAAGCATTCAATAAAATTTCATTCCAACCATTCTAGGATTTCCTGTCGACTTGGCATTAGCAAACAGTGTTTCTTAGAAGTAGGGAACGATAAGGAAAGTAAGTTGGTAAAAGATCTAAAAATCACACGCTGAATATTTGACAAAGGAATAGTATCTTTCACAGTATCAATAATGGTGAAAGTGGGTTATCTTTTTTTAAAATCTCCTTTTCACTTTTGCATGTCCAGGGAAGCAAATCAGATTGTATGCTTAGAGAAAGTCCTGAGGGTCAAATCCATTAAAAAAAAAAATCCAATGTCATATGCTATTGATATTACAGTGATTTAACCATATAATTATGGTTTCTAATAACCAGATTTTGATGGCTTTCCTACATCCCCAAAATATTTGGGGCAAAACAAATCTTTGGGATGGGGCAGTTATTGAGATTATATTCAAGACATGGAGTAGCATGAATAGAGTAGAGTAGAGTAGAGTAGAGTAGAATAAGGTAGAATAGTATAGAACAGAACAGAGAGTAAAGTAGAGTAGAATAGAACAGAGTAGAATAGAGTAGAACAGAGCAGAGCAGAGTACAATATAATACAATAGAATAGAATACAATAGAACAGAACCATTTAGCAACCACTCAAAATTACAATGGAAAAAGTAACTTACGACCTATCCTGGCAACTAGACTAGCTAGTCTAGATTAGAACAGAATAGAATAAAGTAGAATAGAGCAGAACAGTACAGTAGAGTAGAATAGAATAGAGCAGAGCAGAGCAGAGCAGAGCAGAGTACAATAGAATAAAGTAAGTACAGAGCAGAACAGAATAGAATAGAACGGAAACAAAGTAGAGTAGAATAAAGAATAATGAAGTAGAATAATATAGAATAGAATAGAACAGTAGAGTAGAGTAGAATAGAATAAAGTAGAATAGAACAGAATAGAATAGAACAACAGAACAGAGGGAGTAGAATAGAATAAAGTAGAACAGAACAGAGTAGAGTAGAATAGAATAAAGTAGAATAGAATAGAGTAGAATAGAATAGAATATAAAGTAGAATAGAACAGAATAGAATAGAACAACAGAAGAGAGTAGAGCAGAATAGAATAAAGTAGAACAGAACAGAACAGAGTAGAGTAAATAGAATAGAATAAAGTAGAATAGAATAGAGTACAGTAGAATAGAATAGAATAAAGTAGAATAGAATAGAACAGATTTTTGAAATATTAACTAACTTGCTGAAACAAGTTCCTAACTGATTCGACTAACTAGAGAAGCTGGGCATTTACCGTACAGTGTTTTTTTTTTTTTGTTTGTTTCCAGAGGTATGTTTGGTGGAAGAAAAGCCTGGATGTATGGACAAAGGATCACCTGTTCCCTATAGACATTGACTATATGATCAGTGATACATTAGAACTGCTGAGACCCAAAATAAAACTCTGCAATTCTCTGGACGAATCTGTTAGGCAGGTACAAGAGCTGGAAAGGGAATTCTTAATCAAACTAGGTAAGACGGCTATATCAAGCCCAGAGGGAGCTGAAATTCCCCCTTTGATATTTTACATCTTTATAGCACTGTTTATAATTTTGAGATGTCTCTGGGCAAGTGAGTATGAATGTTCCTCTGTCTCCCTAGGGTGGGAGAAAGTGCTTAATTGATGCTGATACAAGCTACTGTGAAACTATATAGAGCAGCGGTTCTCAACCTGTGGGTCGGGACCCCATTTGGGGTCGAACGACCATTTCACAGGGGTCGCCAAACAACGCAGTCCGCCATTTTTTCCCCTTTTCCTTAGCTGTGCTACTCCCTTTTATTCTATTGGCTTTTGAAAGCCAATCGAATAGACTCTCTTGAATAGAGTCTAATTCTATTGGCTTTCAAAACCAATAGGAATTGTCCAGGCTGTCTCTGCCCTGCTGAGCCCGCCAAAAGTCCCATTCTCCAAACGGTGCTGCACCAGTTGAGTAGTCCTCGACTTACGACCGGTTGAGTAGTCCTCGACGTACGACTGGTTGGGAGGTCACGGCGTTAAAAAGGTTGAGAACCACTGATATAGAGCTTGCCGCATACTAGTTTAATAAATTATGGCCCCTCAACCCACTTTCTTTTTCTGGGCCAACCTCTTCCTCAAGAAGACAAATACAGCTAGTCCTTGACTTACAACCACAATTGAGCCTAAAATTTATGCTTGCTAAGCGAGACATTTGTTAAGTGAGGTTGGCTCCATTCTACGCCTTTTCTTGCTTAACGTTTGCTAAGTGACTCGCAGCGGTTATTAAGTTAGCAAGAAGGTTGTTAAGTGAATTCAGCTTCCCCATTGGCTATGTTCGTCTGAAGATCGCAAAAGGGGAATCACGTGACCCGCGGGACACGGCAGCCGTCCTAAATATGAGTCAGTTGCCAGGCATCTGACTTTTGATCACGTGACCATGGGGATGCTGCCATGGCCGTAAGTGTGAAAAACGGTCCTAAGTCCCTTTTTTTCAGTGCCGTTGTAACTTTGAACGGTCACTAAATGAACTGTTGTAAATTGAGGACTACCTGTAATTCACTGTGGGATTGTGGGAAATGAACAGAACTAAAAGATGAGACAAGAAGAAACATCTTAAGAAATATCTCTTGACTTTGAATACGTTTGAATCTCGAGAGGCAGAGAAACCAGGCAGACCTTTGTGAATTTCCTTTGAGAAATCTTACAAGAACAAATGAAGGAAGAGGGGAATTGTTTTGATTTTCCAAAAAGAGGGTCCCGAAGCTGCAGACCATTCAACTTGGCATAATCCTTGGGAAGATTCTAGAATAATATTAGAAAGCAGTTCATTCATTAGCAGCCTGAAAAATGACCTGGCAATCACCAGAAATCGAAATTGAATTACTCTAGAATTAATCTTGATATTTTGGTTTCGCTTTATTTTTTTTTTCCATCGAGGAACTTCCTTCATCGATTGTGGGAATAGGATTAGTGTAATGAATCAAGGAGTTGAGGAGACTCAGATAGTACAAGGGTATCACATATTGTATCACATATAATATTTTTTTTCTTTTTTTTCAATTTTTTTTTATTTTTAACCAACAAAACAAAACAAAGCAAAACATAACACACACACACACACACACAATATATATATACTCCTCTCCCTTTTTTTTTTACAGCAATTACGTAACGGTAATCTATTATTTACATTTCCCCCCTTATTCTTCTTTAGAATATTTGTCCTTATTGCCCTGTTATTTCTTATTTACATTTTTCTTCCTTCATATTCTATTTCTTACTAAGAATAATTCATATTATTATTATACATTATTATGCACATATTTTCACTTTTGACCTTTCCATATTTATTCTCCTCTATTATTTCTAGTCTCCAACCAGACATACCACTTGTTGCATGTTATATAATACTCTGTGTCTTCCTTTTCTTTTATCTCTTTTGTTATTTGTCCATCTCAGCACAGTCCAGGATTTTTCTTATTACTTCTTCCTCTGATGGTATATTCTCATTTTTCCAGCACTGTGCATATGCTATTCTTGCCGCCGTTATTATATGTATCATATATAATATTGATATTTGTCTCAGGATGCAAAATGGGGGATTTGAATTACAAGAAGGCAAAGTTGTAGATAAAAACAGATTCCCAGTGATAACATTTCCCTTTTGTTGTTCCTTATTCATTTGCTCTCTTCAAACGCACACACCAAATACTCAGTATGGCGGTGATTGTTCAGCCTAAACAATTTGCAGCTTGGTGTATCTCAGGGTACGTCCCATTGATTGCAACACTGCCAACCCCCTTGTAGTTGAGCCAGATCATAACTGTAGGATTTTTCCAAATGTCTGCCTTCATTGTTGTTTCTTGTTCTTACAACTGAAACCAGGGACTTTTCTTTGATGACTAAGGAACAGGCAACTATTAATATGCTCAGAAGTTGCAAGGTTTGACACCACGGTGGAATAGTTGGTGAATATGATGAAGTTTACAGAGGGTTAAATTAACTTTTTTTCCGGAGGAAAAAACATCTAAATTTATGGCTGACTGAAAACCCATTGTAGACTTTTTGCATGAAATGGAAAAAGTGCTCTTACGATTTGTGGGAATGGGGTGATGGGGGAAAAAAACTTGGATAAATAGAAAAAAAGTGAGCTTTTTTTGTAATCATAGAGCAGGGGTAGGCAACCTTGGCTCTTTTATGACTCGTGGACTTCAACTCCCAGAATTCCTGAGCCAGCATGGCTCAGCATGGAAACCTCTCCATTTTTCCTCAGCATGGCTGGCTCAGGAATTCTGGGAGTTGAAGTCCACGAATCATAAAAGAGCCAAGATTGCCTACCCCTATCATAGAGTAAGAAATTATTTTGTAATTGTACTTATATTTGCTGCAAAGTAGATTGGAAACTTTTTTCTCTTCCCTCCCTCCCTCCCTCCCTCCCTCCCTCCCTCCCTCCCTCTCTTTCTTTCTTTCTTTCTTTCTTTCTTTCTTTCTTTCTTTCTTTCTTTCTTTCTTTCTTCATCTCTTCATTGCTATGTGTTATTTTTTCTGTTCTGTTCAGCTTTTAATAAGAAATTACTTATTTGTTTCTTCTTCCTTCCCCCCTTTAGGTCTTATGAATGACAAAGACTCTAAGGATTCCATGACTGAAGGAGAGAACCTGGAGGAGGATGAGGACGAAGAGGAAGGTGGAGTAGAGATTGAAGAACAATCTGGAAATGAAAGTGAAATAAATGAAGCAGAGGAGGAGGTGATTCTCTCTGCTCTTAGCTTTCTTAAATACAGTTTGGAAGGGTGGCTGATAGACCTGCTGGCCAGTTGCTCCCAATTCACAAGCAAATACCTGTCATGCTTGAAGCCTACCACATCTGTGGTGATGTACTATATATAATTTGGGCAAGCAAGGAAGACAGGCCAAATTTATCCCCCTCCCCCCCCCAAATATTCACAGGATATGGTTGAAAAATGTCCAGGAGCACTTAAGAAAAAAGGTGGAAATCTGTTTGCACCACACGGCTGCCATCTTGACATCTTTAACCATATCCCATGGAGACTCTGTTCCCAGCTATGAAAATTTACTAAACAGAATATTGTCGAAGGGTAGTTTCTGAAATCCAGTTGAGAATATTGGTAATTTTGCGAACTGCGATCTATTGTACACAGATTTCATCAGGATCCCATCCCTTCTGATTTTTTTTCTGTTAGGAACAATTGGGATGGATAATTAAGTTTGGAGTGAATTTCAAAACAGCGCTGGCACAATTGCTAAAATGTCATAAAGTTAAGTTGGGCAAAGTTTTTTGCACAACAGCTTTGAAACCCACATGAAAACAAGACTTTCGGCTGTACGTTAAAAGCTCTTGATTTTTTTAATAATAATTTATTAATTTTCTAATTTTACATTTGAATATTTAAAAAGCAACGTGGTGACTGGGTTAATCAATAGTTCAACAATAAAGTCTTAGTGCAAATCTCAGGTTACAACATCAAATATTCTTCTCTTTTTCCCTTAACATTTACTGTCTCATATTCAGGTTAGTATATTTCTAATTATATCAATTCAATAAGAACATCATTTTTACATTTATCAATAAATTTTTAGCTTATACATATCTTAATTACAGTCAATCTTCATAAACAATCCATATCCTGTTATTGATTTTTACTCAATTTTTAATTTCTTATCAATATTCCAATTTAATCTTTGATATTTATAATTTTCAGACTTTGGGTAACCAAAATTCCCCTTTTCTCCCTTCATAACAAACTACAGTATAATATCCAAAATACACATTTTATCTATTTGTATATAATCTTGTTCTATTTCCTAAGAGTTATCTATTTCCCCCCATATTAAACCATTCCCACCATATTAAATCATCTACACAATATCCTCTTTAATAAATCAAAATCATATATATTGCCTGGGTTAATCAGCAAATCAAACATATTCATAATATTTAATTCTCTTTTTCCTTTTATGTCTAATTTTTAAATATTAAACTGATAAATCCTTATTTTCAACTGATTAAGAAATATTTTAAATCTAATAACCCAAATTCCCCTCATCTCAATATCTCCCTTTAACCCTGTAATTGGCAATATAAAATCCCCTCTAATGAGTCAAAGTCCCAGTTTTTTCAACCTGATTCTAGCTTTCTTCCTTTGCCAATTAGGCTTCCATATCAGCGCCTTTAAATCATCAAATAGATCTCCCTCTATTCTTATGTATGTTATTCGAGTTAAAGGAGACCATTTGATAGCCAGTTTTCTGGAAGGACTAACCCAGTGGTGGCGAACCTATGGCACGGGTGCCAGAGGTGGCACTCGGAGCTCTGTCTATGGGCCGTTGCCCCAGCCTTGCCTCCGCCCGTGACCCCCTCCTCTCCAGCAGCCCCCCTGAAGGAGAATTGCCCCTGAGGGTGGCCCACGTGGAACAGCGCAGCCAAGGACATGGCAGCCAGGCAGCGTAGACAAGACTCTGCCCTCACACCCCATCGTGCACAGTTGATGCTGCAGGGCGCGGGCAGAGGGCGTGACCGCCATAGCGCTGCTGGGCTGCCTGGGCGATCTGTGGCGGGCCCTGGAGGCGGTGAATGGCCCTGCAGGCATGCGGTGCGGAGGATGGGGGGCGGGGCAGGGGTGGAGCGGGGCGGGGGCAGTTTTTGGGCACTCAGTCTCTTAAAAGGTTTGCCATCACTGGACTAGCCCATTTGTATTCGTTAAATTGTCTCCCTGTTAGTCCAGTTCCCCATGTTTACTCTAATATATTTGTCTTCAGTTCAATCTGTTCTACTTCTTTCTCAAAGCTCTTGATTTTTCAGGAGGGGTCTGAGAATGAGGATGATGAAGGAGAAGAGGAGGAAGAAGAGAACACCGATTACCTCACTGACTCTAATAAGGAGAATGAAACCGATGAAGAGAACACGGTATGTTTCTTTAAAAAAAAAGACAACAACATTTATTGACTCTTTGGGCTGAATTGGGAGAGAGAAAAGTCAAATAGACCCTTATCTTTACCTTATTTGATGTGGATAAGATGCCCCCACTAGAATGGGTGGTGCTGTTTTCCATTGAAAATTACCTGCTAATAAACTAGTAGGAAGCCAACCACCAAATTTCAAGAACACAAATGAGTGTCCAGATGAGGAGATCCAAACTTATTAGTAGCCTCACATTGCAGTGAAACGGGACATGCATTCAGTTTTGCAGCTACTAAGATTGTTGGCTGAGCAGGTACAAAAACAGCCAGGGAAATAATTGAAGCCTGGGAAATGGGCCCCTTGTCAGTCAACAGGAGTGCTGATTTACCACCAGCTTATCAAGTACATAGGAGCTGAAGGCTTGGCAGCATAAGGAAACAACAGCCAATCGCCGGCCATCAATACACCAATCAGCCAGTAGGAAGGCACCACATAAATATGACGCATAGAATAGCCCAAAACACACATTCTGGCAGAGAGAAGTTCCCTGAAGTTGGACTCCAGCACAAGTCCGAAAGCTTGGAAGACAAAACCTCTGGTCCCATTGACCGACCCAGATTGGATCTTACCTGCTAGTGATCGATTGGAAGAATAAAAAGAAAGGAACAGTACTTCACAGAATTAGTTACATTGCTTTGAAATGACATTTAAGGGAATTGACCATAGAAGCTGGGATGTTTGTGTATGAACTATGCTATCAAAAGGAAGACTATCTTAAAATGGCAAGCTGAACAGTGGGTGTTTTTTCTAATGCTTTCTGGCACAAAGTGTTCTTTGTAGAAGGAAGGGCTAGCTTGTCCCAAACCAGAGAAGAGAGCTGAGCTAAAGAACTAAACTGCATAGGGACATAAAACAGTGCTGCAAATTTAATTTCAGAAAGCCCAAGGCAGTTTTATGTTCTTGCCTGACAACTAGGTAAAAACAAGTGGAGCATCAGTACAGCGTCTTCTGGATGGCCACCGTATAGCTAATAGTTGTGGATTTCAAGAGAACAAAATATATTCAAGGTGTGCAATCTTACAGAAGGCACAGAAACGTGCTTGCCTAAATTGGATTTTTTTTTAAAAAAAATAATAATTATAGTCCATGACTAACACTGGAAATGAAATCAATCCCCAGTGCTGATTTTTCTTTTTCCATCTCAAAACTATAAGCTGGTGTTCGTCAACCTCAAAAATGTTTGTGTGGACTTCAACTCCCAGAATTCCCCAGCCAGCCATGGGAGTTGAAGTCCACACATCTTAAAATTGCTGAAGTCTAGAGACACTGCTGTAAGCTGTTTGTCACATTCAGCAATTTCTTTCTAATGAATCATATTAGATTGATCTGTTTTGGGCTACTTTTAAAAAATATATATGCAAAAATGTTCCTTTTTCACAGTAAGCAAGATACATATCTTTGTATCAAATGCTGTTCCTTGTCTCGCACTTGCTGATCAGGATTAACAATAGCAAGTTCTTCTCTTATTTGTGGATGACATCACATTGTCACACCTGTAACCTCTTTCTGCTTTTTTTATTTATTAAAAAACAGAAAGAAACATGTACTAGAGAACACCTTTTAGTTATAAGACCCTTAATGAAGTCATTATTTGAGAAACTGAAGCATTAAAATAAATTCTTGGATCTGTTTTGAAAACATTATAGCCCCATGAATGAGATCAAGTTCTTCAAGGGAGGACTCCAATCTGTTGGCCACCCCCAGTTGGCAGAAAATATACGTCAACTGAAATGGTGCTGTTTTCTTTTTTTTAATATATATCTATCAGGAAGTAATGATTAAAGGAGGTGGGCTGAAACGGGTCCCGTGCGCCGAAGATGAAGATTTTATTCAGGCATTGGATAAAATGATGCTGGAAAATTTACAGGTACCGATTGATTTTTTAGTACAATCATACAAGGCATTCTGTTTTTACAAAACTCCCCACCTCTTGAAACAGCAGTGAAATGGGCGGTGTCAAATGTCTTGAAGCTTGACTGCAGTTGCTAAGTGACAGGGCATAAGGCGAGAGTTACCGGAGGAAGACAAATAAACCGGCGTTTCCCAAACCTGGCGACTTTTAAGAAGGTTTCAGAAGTTAAAGATGATGAAGAAGATGGGCTTCAACTCTTAAGGAGTGGAAGCCCACCTGTCTTAGAGTTGCCAAGTTTGAAAAACCCTAAGCCAGGGGTCGGCAACCTTAAACACTCAAAGAGCCACTTGGACCCATTTCCCAGAGAAAAGAAAACACTGGGAGCCGCAAAAGTTTGTGTGTGCACGTGCACGCATGGGAGGGGGGAAGCTTGAGTGAAGAGTTTAATTAAAAAGAAATAGAGATTGCTGTGCATGAGTTCTCTCTCTCCCTTCCTCCCCCCTCTCTCCCCCCCTCTCTCTCTCCCTCTCTCTGATCTTCTGCTCACCTGGCAAGCTGGCTTCACGCTGTCCTCCAACAAGCTGACACACATTCTTATTGGGCTGACTCTCTCCTGCCCTTGGTCTGCCAGTCCTCTTCCCCCATTCAGTGTGAGTTTGTGTGTGTGAGAGAGAGAGAGACAGAGAGACAGAAAGACAGAGAGACAGAGAGAGCTGCTGCTTCCTGCTTCCTGCTGAGACGCAGCAAAGGGAGGAGCCCCGCCCAATAAGCTTGTCAGCTTGTCAGAGGACAGCGTGAGGCCACTCTCTTTTTTACAGAGAGAGAGAGAGAGAGAGAGAGAGAGAGAGAGAGAGAGAGAGAGAGAGAGAGAGAGGAGGGAAGCGCAAGTGCCTCTCTCTGTCTCTCTGCAAATGGTAGAGGAGGCTGGGAGCCGCAGAAGAAGGCTCAAAGAGCAACACGCGGCTCTGGAGTTGCGGGTTGCCGGCCCGTGCCCTAAGCTAAACAAAACAAAGCATAAAGGCTGCTCTCATTCGTTCTGCTGCTGTTCTCGTGGCCTACAAACATTTCAGAGGTCTGTTTTTGTGCCCTGGCAGCAAAGAAGCGGAGAGTCGGTGAAAGTGCACCAGTTGGACGTGGCCATCCCTTTGCATCTCAAGAGCCAGCTAAAGAAAGGACCACCTCTCGGCGGTGGGGAGGGGGAGTCTGAATCCGGAGACACCATGCCTTTTGTCATGCTAACCCGGAAAGGCAACAAGCAGCAGGTAAGCTTGTGCTGAGTTGGAAAGGTGGCCCTTTTTATGCTCTGACATTTCTGATTAATTGTCTTATGTGGATACCTAATACTTGAGGGGTCCTTGGGGCTCTCTGAGCTTGGCCTGTTTTCTTGCAGACATTTCATGACCCAACTAGGGAACATCATCAGTGTTACACTAATGTTGGTACCGACTATCATTCTAGACAAATGACTGTCCAGTCTCTTCTTGAAAACCTCCAGTAATGCTCTCCGAGCTTGGTTGTTTTCTTGCAGACATTTCATTACCTAAACTAGGTAACAACATCAGCACTGATGATGATATTACTTAGTTGGGTCATGAAACGTCTGCAATAAAACTACCAAGCCTCAGAAAACATCAAGGACGACCACCATCTCCACCACAAACTTCTAGCACTGATGATGTTACCCAGTTGGGTCATGAAACGTCTATAAGAAAACCACCATGCTCAGAAAGCATCAAGGACGACCTCCTCCTCCACCTCTTCCACAAACCCTGCTCCCTTCTAGCACTGATGATGTTACCCAGTTGGGTCATGAAACATCTGCAAGAAAACCATCATGCTCAGAAAGCATCAAGGACCTCCTCCTCTCCCACAAACCCGCTCCCTTCTAGCACTGATGATGTTACCTAGTTGGGTAATGAAACGTCTGCAAAAAAACAACCAAGCTCAGAGAGCATGAAGGACCCCTCATTTCAATCCTGAGCTACAAAATATTCTGCTTTATTGATATTAAATACTGTAGTTTTTGGACAATAAGAAAGTGGCCGTTTCCCCCTTAGCCATTCACAGTTTCAGTGGACAAATGGTAACTTCATTTACATTTAACAATTAGAATTATTTTGGGGGATGTGATTGTAAGCGTTCCTTTATTTATATATATATATATATATATATATATATATATATGTAGGTCTTTGGTTGTTTGGGTTTTCTCCCGCGTAAAATTGGAAGTGTCTTGGCGACGTTTCGACGAAGTCCCATTCGTCATCTTCATTTGAGCATTGCTGCTCGAAGCACAACAGAATAATCAGAGAAGCCATCGAGATAGAAAAACGCCCACACAGCATGAACAAGCGAGATGACACCTCCCGCCTACCAGCCATTTGGAAACCCGCCCTCATTGACAAACGACTCCCTAACACAAAAAATGATACCAGACCCACACTCACAAAAACCACACAGGAGGTCACCACCAAACATCCACGCAAAAAACAAACCCAAAGCCACACTGACTATGAGGCACGACCACAAACCAGAAGCCAGACCACAGCTGCATCATTAGCCACTTTAAACCCCCCCAATCCATACATGAAGCAAACTGACACCCTCCATGAAGAGGAAGCACGACCACGAACGCGAAGCCAAGGAATGGCAGGGCAGCCCAAAATCTTGAATCCCTCTGCAACTCAGACTAACCTGAGCACAACCAAACAGAACACTCCCCCAGCCAATCAGAGCACAGCCAACCCCCCAGCCAATCAGAGCACAGCCAACCCCCCAGCCAATCAGAGCACAGCCACGCCCCTAACCAATCAGAACACACCTCCACCCAATCAGAACACAGCCAAGCTCCCACCCAATCAGTTCATACCCCCACTGGCAGTTAAAAGGAAGAAACAGCTAAGACCACACATTGCTGCTCGAGGCACGAAGCTGAAAGCACCAGCCTGAAGATGACGAATGGGACTTCGTCGAAACGTCGCCAAGACACTTCCAATTTTACGTGGGAAAAAACCCGAACAACCAAAGACCTACATACAAATACCCGCGAAAACCTCAGAAAACAAATATATATATATATATATATATATATATATATATATATATATATATATATATATATATTGATTCATTTATCAGTGGATAGCAGATATTGATTGGTTTTCCCAGATGAGTCTCTGTTTCATGCAATTAGGTGGCATTAAAGAGACTGATTTTTGTACTCTTAGTCACACATTCAATTTTTCTTCTTCTTCTTGCGACCCTGTAATCCCTTACTTCAGGGTCGGGTTGGGGCGACTGGATGGAGCTGAGTATTTACCGGCCGGATGCCCTTCCTGATGCCTACACGGAGTTCACAGCAGAATTTTTCCCTTTGCGCCCTGACATCTGCCACTGTCCAGGATTGAACTCTCAGCCTCCCAAGTGGGAGGCGAGCGTCTTCACCTCTGGGCCCCCACGCCACTATTCACACATTCCAAATACAGTTCTCAAAAATACCCTGGACCTGTAACACGCCAAGTAGTGGTTCCAATTACAGAATAATACTTGGGTCCCTCCCCTTGTAGTTAGGGAGGTTTCCCTTTCTTTGGGATCTTAAGATGGGCTTCTGTTCTTTCAGTTTAAAATCCTAAACGTGCCGATGTCCTCTCAACTGGCTGCCAATCACTGGAACCAACAGCAGGCCGAGCAGGAAGAACGCATGCGGATGAAAAAGCTAACCTTGGACATCAACGAACGGCAGGAACAGGAGGACTATCAAGGTAGCGGCCTGCTGTTAAAAAAGTTTCATACCGGTAGTCCTCGGCTTGCAAGCAACTATTTAGTGACCCCTCAAAATTACAATGGAAAAAGTGACTTGTGACCTATCCTGGCGAATAGACTAGGAATAGGAATAGGAATAGGAATAGGAATAGAATAGAATAGAATAGAATAGAATAGAATAGAATAGAATAGAATAGAATAGAATAGAATAGAATATTGAATAAAATGTTGAATAAAATGTTGAATAGAATAGAATATTGAATATTGAATAAAATGTTGAATAGAATAAAATGTTGAATAAAATGTTGAATAGAATAGAATATTGAATATTGAATAAAATGTTGAATAGAATAGAATGTTGAATAAAATGTTGAATAGAATAGAATGTCGAATACAGTGTTGAATAGAATAGAATGTTGAATAGAGTAGAGTGGAGCAGAACAGAATAGAATAGAATATAGGAAAGAAGAATAGAATAGAATATAGAGAGAATAGAATAGAATAGAATAGAATAGAATAGAATAGAATAGAATAGGAATGTAGAATAGAATAGAATAGAATAGAATATTGAATATTGAATAAAATGTTGAATAGAATAGAATGTTGAATAAAATGTTGAATAGAATAGAATGTCGAATACAGTGTTGAATGGAATAAAATGTTGAATAGAATAGAGTAGAGCAGAACAGAATAGAATAGAATAGAATAGAATATAGAGAGAATAGAATAGAATAGGAATGTTGAATAGAATAGAATAGAATAGAATAGAATAGAATAGAATAGAATAGAATAGAATAGAATAGAATAGAATAGAACAGAACCTTGGAGGTCTTCTAGTCCAGCCCCCTGCTTAAGCAGGAGAATCTACACCATCTCAGACAGGTGATTGTCCAGTCTCTTTTTAAAAATCTTCAGTGATGGAGCACCCACAATTTCTGGAGGCAAGCTGTTCCACTGATTGATTGTCCTCACTGTCAGGAAGTTTCTCCTTAATTTCAGGTTGCTTCTCTCCTTGACCAGTTTCCAATCATTGTTTCTCGTCCTTCCCTCTGGTGCTTTGGTGAACAACCTGGCCCCCTCTGCCTTGTGGCAGCCCCTCAGATACTGGAACACTGCTATCATGTCTCCCCTATTTCTTCTTTTCTTTAGACTAGCCAAACCCAAGTCCCGCAGCCGTTCTTCATATGTTTTAGCCTCCAGGCCTTTGACCATCTTAGCTGCTGTTCTCTGAATTTTTTCCAAACTCTCAACATCTTTTTTGTGATACGGTGACCAAAATTGGCTGCAATATTCCAGGTGTGGTCTTACTAGGGCTTTGTACTAGGGCTTACAACCATGCAGGGTTTCCCACGGTTACGTGATCAAGAATTCTAGCGCTTGGCAACCAACACGTGTTTATGACAGCTGCAGCAGCATCCCAGGGTCAGGTGACTTCTGTTTGCGACCTTCCCAGGCGGCTTCTGACCTCAAAGTCAAGGGGAGAAGCCAGATTCGTTTAATAATGTGATTCGCTTAACAATGGCAGTGGTTTATTTAACGACCATGGCAAAAAAAGATCATAAAACCAGGCACGGCTGACTTAACAACTGCCTTGCTTAGCACCGGAAATTCTCAATTTCCCAATTGGGATTGTAAGTCGAGGATTACAACCCCATCCGAACTTTAATGCTGCTTGGGTGGGTTTTATTCCTGCATTCAAATGTACACATGGCTGCTCTAAATCGTACAAGAAAAATAATAGCTCAGGATCAGTGTGATCAAAGGACCTGCTTCCAATAGAAATCAAACAGATTATTATAATATGCCGATAACATAACTGAAGGGTATTTTCAGAGTCTTGTGTGCCCTCCACCCCTTTGAGATACCTGCAGTTGGCTGCCAAGAGAGTTGGCGTTTCTGGCAAGTTCTGTGGAACATCATTTGCTCATAAATTAAATTTATTTAGGTTCTGCTAAGCAGCAATAATAGGCATGTAACCTCCAAACAGAGACATGCTCTGGTTTTCTCCTCAGAATTACCTTTTGCTGATCCCGCATGAAAATGGTTTATTAGTCATTATTGTTTCAAACGCGGCTGAGATATTTGTCCTCGCCAACCCCGAATATTGCAAATTTCTACCCAGGAAGTCTTAATTGTTCATCAAATGACCGGATTCGTTAGCTGAGGAATTTGGGGACTTCTGATATTTGCTAGAAACATCTCCGGCCTTCTTTTTTTTAACCCAAGAGTGGTCTGTGCTCTTCCCTCACCGTCAGTTTATTTCTTAAAACATTTTAATCCACAGAAATGATGCAGTCCTTGGCTCAGAGACCCGCTCCAGCCAACACAAACCGAGAACGGCGGCCTCGTTACCAGCATCCCAAGGGAGCTCCTAATGCTGATCTCATCTTTAAAACTGGTGGAAGGTAAGAAGTGGGATTGTTCTGTGGTTTTCCGTTTTCCCGCCAATTCTGATTTCAGAACTGGGAAGACTTATCCTTTTTAACGGGATAGTAGCCTTGAGCGAGAAGACGTTTTTTTGCTGGATCCACCTTGAAAAACCTTAGAGTAGAAATCACTCATACTTTAAGATCGCTTCCTTTGGAAATAATGACTGAATTATTATTGTGTAGCATAGGATGAGAACCTGACAGAAGAAAAATAAGCATATGCACACAATCCAAGAAATTATATACGAGGGCAATTCGGAAATAAACCTCCATTTGAGCATGTGCGAGAAACACCCGTCCTGCGGCGCCGTGCGCAGTAGTTCAGTAGGCAGGAGTTGAAGGAGAAGATGGTGTTGCAGTTGACTCATCCGCTAGATCAATTGAAAATGAACCCTTCCATAGAAAATCCCTCCAAATATGAAGTGTGTGCAGTAATACGATTTCTGTGTACGAAAAAATCTTTGGCAGCTGTGATTCTGTAATGTTTATGGCCCAAATGTGATGAGTGAAGGTGTCATACGTCAACGGTGTCTCATGTTTAAAGATGGATGAACCGACGTGCACGATGAGGCAAATAGTGGCCGCCCATCTCTAGTCACCGATGAACTCATGCAGGAAATTGACAGAAAGGTCCATGAAGTCCACCAGTTCACAATGTCTGCACTTTCTTTATACTTTCCCCAAATTTCTCAGACTGTTTTGTACGAGGTAGTGATAGAAAAATTGGGGTACCGCAAGTTCTGTGCTCGTTGGGTACCAAAACTCCTTTCTGAGGAGCACAAAACACCGAATGGGTTCACGATGCTGTTACAGGGTGGCTTCATTCCCAGGCAGGAGATTTTTTTTTTGCAAAAGAAATTTCAAACCTTGTAAGATGTTACGACGAGTGCCTCAGTTTGAATGACGATTATGTCGAAAATATCATGTTGTAGTTTTCTAATGCGTATAATAAAAGTTCTGTATCTGCAGATACAGAAACGGAGGTTTATTTCTGAATTGCCCTTGTACAAAACTCTTATGGGGGTGGATGTCCCGTTCAGCAATCCAGGCGACCTCCTGTGGTGTTGCTTTGTGCGGATCTTCTAAGGAACCAAAGAACGCACAATACGTTTAATATAGGTAGTCCTTGACTTACAACAGTTCATTTAGTGACGTTCAAAGTTATAACGGCACTGAAAAAAGTGACTTGTGAGCACTTTTCACACTTATGACCATTGCAGCATCCCCGTGGTCACATGACTTACATTCAGGCGCTTGACAACTGACTCGCGTTTGACGGTTGCAGCGTCCTGGGGTCATGTGACCTTCTGACAAGCAAAGTTCAATGGGGAAGTCAGATTTCCTTAATAACTGCGTGACTAACTTAACCACCGCCGTGATTCGCTTAACCAAGGTGGCAAGGAAGCTTGTAAAATGGGGAGGGGAACTCATTTCACACATTTCTCACTGAACAGCAGAAATTTTGGGCTCAATTGTGGTCTTAAGTCGAGGACTACCTGTAATGCGTTTTGTTAGTGTCGTATATCGGGGATTAGACGCCATAGGCCAGGGGTAGGCAACCTTGGCTCTTTTATGACTCGTGGACTTCAACTCCCAGAATTCCTGAGCCAGCCATGCTGAGGGGAAAGGGGAGAGGTTTCCAAGCTGAGCCAGGCTGGCTCGGGAATTCTGGGAGTTGAAGTCCACGAGTCATAAAAGAGCCAAGGTTGCCTACCCCTGGTATAGACCATGGCTAGAATGATGATGAATGATGTGGGGGGGGGGAGTTAAGTAAAGGACAAATTAGCATAGGTAGGCCCCATTTTAAGGCCTTTCAGAAGGAGTTTTGCCCCATTTTATGACCTTTCTTGCCACAGTTGTTCAGTGAATCACTGCCGTTGTGAATTTGGCTTCCCTATTGACTTTGTTCGTCAAAAGGTCGCAAAAGGGGATCACGTGACACACACACCCCCCCGGGACAATACAGCAATCATGAATACGAGTCAGTTACCAAGCCTCCAAATTTTGATCAGGTGACCGTGGGGATGCTACAGCAGTCGTAAGTGTGAAAAAAAGTCATAAATCAGGGTTTTTCCCCCCCAGTACCATTGTATCTTCAAACAGTCACTAAATGAATGATTGTAAGTCGAAGATATCTGTAATGCAGAATGGGAGAGCCGTTCCTATAAACCAGGGGTAGGCAACCTTGGCTCTTTTATGACTGGTGGACTTCAACTCCCAGAATTCCTCAGCCAGCATGGCTCAGCTTGGAAACCTCTCCCTTTCCCCTCAGCATGGCTGGCTCAGGAATTCTGGGAGTTGAAGTCCACAAGTTACGAAGGGGCCAAGGTTGCCTATCCCTTCCATAGGCGAAATAAGCAAGTAAGTTTCACCGCTCGCTTCTTCCTGCATCTGACCTTTTCCTTCTCTCCTTCCCTCTGCCAGGAGACGTTGATCCAGCCGCAAGCGTCATCTCATTAGGTCCCGTATCTCCAATGTTGTGGATTAGTGGAGTCCTCCAGCAATTAAAACGAGAGCAGCGGACACATCGGAGCATGTCAGTCTCAGAGAGTTCAGAAATCGACAGGCTGGGGCCGTAGAGCAGATCCACCAGCCTCTATTAAAAACAGAAATAGTGGAAGCTTCCAGTCATGACCTATCAAAAACCAAAAGCATCTTGTTATGGAAAACATGCGAGGGTTAATCTTCTCATGAGAATGGAAGTCAATAAATGAGATGGTTAACTTGACCGGTGAGCAGTTCAGTTACAACAAAAAAAAAGAGCAACTTAAAAAAAATAAGATGGATTATGCTGGAACAGAGACAAGTTTTGGTGGCTAGGTCTGGGGGAGAAAGGAATCAAACTTAAAAGAGTGTCATTTTCACTGAATGACGCGCGACGGTAGTGCCAGGAAAAAGTTCTTTAGCAGGCCTGCAGACCTGCTTCTAGAGAAGCGATACAACAAGGAGTAAGGATTGATTAGTCAGCCCCACCACCCAGGATAAGCAAAACAGCAACTAATTTACCAAAACGCGAGATATTTTCCTGGAAGACGGACATTCGGAGAGGAAACCAGACAGTTCCAGATTGCGTGTGTTTTGAGCGAGCGAGTGAAGGAATCAAAAAGAGAAAGTGGCAAGGTCTCCTGAAGGTTACACAGATAGATGGGAAGGGGGAGAGAAAGAGAGAGAGAGAAAGCATTGACCAAAAGTTGCTTTGAACAGCCTGACACCAGCCTAAATCCAAGGGTCTAGAGGAGCTCATTAAAGCATCATTGAAAACCAAAATGTGCCAGTCAGCACGACAGACAGATGCCAGGAAGTGGAGCTGAATGTTCTGTTGACTTTCATGGGTTGATAAGCCTCTGTGTCTACATATTTAAAAAAGAAAAAAGAAAGAAAAAAAAATAGTTGGCAGAAGTAGAATTTTTATTTTTCTAAATTGAGATAAATCTTTTCTCCGGGCAGTTTCTGACAATCTTGTTTGTTAGTATAGTTGTGGGGGATATATTTCTTCTTCTTCTTCTTTTTTCTCCTCCCCCCCTTTTTTTCCTTCCAAACCCTCCCCCCCTTTCTTCTCCTTTGCTTTCATGTAGTTGTAGTACATTCAATTTAAGAAGACATTCTGTAGGCGACTCGGATTTCGTTTCGTTTTGTTTTCTTCGCTGCTTTAAAAATTCTTTTTTTTCATTTTTTTGACCGCCGTTGAGTTCTTGCATGTAGGCTTTTAAAATGAGATTGTACGACTTGTAACATTTCACATTGGCATATACGGCGCGCACCGTCACCAAGGCCACACCTGATCATCACCAGCTTCAGAAATCTGATCTTTGCCGATGCTGCAATAAAGTGTTATAATTTAGAACTGGCTTTTTTTTTGTCTTTCTTTCTCCCCGTTTGGGGGGGCGTTAGGCCTGGATACACAAGTCTTGGGTTGCGTAAAAGCGGGGAAAAAAAATGGGGATTTCTTTGAACGGGGGAAATAAAGCTATTTTGCATTTGATGTTTCTGAGCTGAATTTCCTATCTTCCCCCCCCCCCTTGTAAAAAACTCGTGAGGGAACTGCTGTCTGATACGTCAACGTGAAGGGCGACACAGCTACTGTATATAAAACAGTTCGCTTAATAATAATAAAGTAATAAAGTTGGAAGAGACCTTGGAGGTCATCTAGTCCAACCCCCTGCTCAGGCAGGAAATCCTACACCATTTCAGACAAATGGCTGTCCAGTCTCTTCTTAAAAACTTCCAGTGTTGGAGCATTCACCGCTCCTGGAGGCAGGTTGTTCCACTGGTTAATTGTTCTAACTGTGAGGAAGTTTCTCCTTAGTTCCAGGTTGCTTCTCTCCTTGATTAGTTTCCCTCCGTCACTTCTTGTCCTGCCTTCAGGCGCTTTGGAAAATGACCATTTAAAATTACAACGGCACTGAAAAAAGTAACTTAAGACCGTTTCCCACACTTATGACCATTGCAGCATCCCCATGGTCACGTGATTTACATGTGGATGCTTGGCAACTGGCTCATATTTATGATGGATGTAAAACTTGGGCTCAGTTGTGGTCGTAAGTCGAGGACTACCTGTGCTTTATAGTATTTTATAAACCACCCCAAGATACCTACCTACGAGTTGAGCAGCTGTATAAATTGGTTAAATAAATCACTATAAATAAACAGCACTTCTTTCACCGTAAGAGCTATTCAGACAAAATAGTTCCTATCTTAAAATGGAAAGCAGTAGAGGTAGTTCTGAACTAAACAGCAGTTCATTTAGTGACCGTTCGAACTTAACAACCGCACTGAAAAAAAGTGACTTTGGACCGTTTTCCACACTTCCAATGACCGTTGCAGCCTCCCCATGGTCACGTGATCAAAATTCAGAAGGTGGGCAACTGACTCACAATTATAACGGTCACAGTGTCCCGGGATCACATGATCCCCTTTGGCTACCTGACCAACAAAGTCCATGGGGAAAGCCAAATTCATTTAATGACCGGGTTACTAACTAAACCACTGCAGTGACTTACTTAACTGTAGCGAGAAAGGTCATAAAATGGGGGCAAAACTCACTTAACAAATGTCTCACTTAACCGCAGAAAAATGTTGGCTCAATTATGGTCATAAGTCAAGGATTGATTTTTTTGGGGGGGTCAAATTATTGCATAGTTTTCCAGCCCTGGCACATTTTGCATTGTGCAGCACAGGGCTTTTATTTTTAAATCCTCTTTTTTTTTTTTTTTTAAAGGATCCAATGTTAGCACGTGCCAGCTTCACTTGAATTTAGACCTTTTCCCTGATTTTTTTTTTTTTTTGGTAGGGGGACATGGGAAAAAAGGCAGCTGCTTTCAGGAATTGCTGGCCCGCCTTTTTGCCTTTCAATCGCAATAGCTGTAGAGTTTTAAATGCCTTTGGGAAATTTAACGTGAGGCACGAAAGCAGCACACAGGATTTATTTCCAGAGTTGAAACTGGAGGCTAAGAGAGACATGAGCGACATTTCACAATGCTTTCTTTTTCTATTAAAGAAATGTTGGGGAATGTTAGGGCTACACTTCAACGATTGGAAAAGTGATTTTATTAAAACAAAAACAGAAGAAATGTCTAGTTTTCAGTGAATGGAAAGAGCTGTTCAGTCTTGTACTTTCTGCATGAATATAGTAGTCAGAATCAAATTTCTGAGTCTGGCCTTTGCCTGTCGTTTATTTAATTTAATCCAGCATGGCCATGAGATAAGCCTGCCCTGGGATCACCCTGGCCAGATGGTTCTCCTTGCAAAGCCAGGACTTCATGATCCTCCAGGAACCCCCTAAGAAGCCTTGCTTTCCAGCTTCTGCAACTCCCAAGCAACCTCTATTAAAAGCAGGCGGTAGTATGCCCAGAACTGGCCTTTGCTGAACATGTATAATCCCCTTTCTTTAAGCCAGCTGAGCAGCTAATGCATCATAACGTGTCAGATGTTATTCCAAGCTGTCTTCTTGAACTCAGTGTTGGCAACCCACGGTGCTTGGCTCGTGTTTCGTAACTGGCCTCTTTTGCTCAGAGCAACCTGGAAAGGAAGCATTGCGTGAAAGCGTTCTGGAGGTTGAATTCAAACACGGCCAATTTACGGTTAAAAGAAAGGATGTTCTGAATCTGGATGTTCTGCTTCGGATACCACGGAGCCCCCTCCCAGAAGGGAACAAGGAAAACAGGTCGTGAAGAGTGTGTGTAGTGTCCCAGATGATCTTACAGACCCTGCTCAAGCAGCGCTTCTGTGCTATGTCCTGGATGGGAGGGAGGGAACTGCCAATGATCTTCTCCGCCATCCTCACCACTCTCTGCACCGCCTTCCTGTCTGAAGCAGGGATGCTTCCAAACCAGACTGTGATGCTGTATGACAGGATGCTCTCGATCCATGCATTGACTGAAAGATTTTTTTTTTAATAATTTTTATTCATAATATAATTAAAACAACTGGACAAACATGACATTCCAGAATGAATTTTCCTATCAGTTCCTATCATGGTACAAAAGTTTAATACATTGTTCTTAACCTCTATATAAGCCTCATCCTTCTATACAATACAATTATATATACAATTATATGTACAGTTATGTATATCTTTTAATTCTACCATTAACTTGAAGTCCGAGCAGTTCTTAATTCATACCAACGGTAAAATTTGTCCCAGATTTCGAAGTATTCGTGTTCTGTCTTGTCTTTCATAATCATTGTAAGCCTGTCCATCTCAGCACAGGATAGAATTTTATGCAGGATCTCTTCTTCCGTTGGGGTTCCCTTATTCCTCCAATTTTGAGCAAAAACCAGTCTGGAAGCCGTTAAAATGTGTAGCATTAAATAAACTACGCCTTTGTCATCCTTTTGCGTAGTTAAACCTAATAGAAAGAGTTCTGGTTTTGGCTCTACCACTCGCTCTAATATTTCTTCCAACCATACTTTAATCCTGTTCCAAAAATCATGAGCTCGCGTGCATTCCCACCACATGTGATAGTAAGTTCCACTTGTCAGATTACATTTCCAACATTTAGGGGAGACATTGGTACACATTTTAGCCAGTCTTGTGGGTGGGAGATGCCATCTATAAAACATTTTGTAAAGGTTCTCTTTGTAAGAGGTGGCCAAAGTAAGCTTCTTGTTTCTTGCCCATAGTTCTTGCAAAATGTGCAGATCAAAATTAAGACCAAAGTCCTTGCTCCAATTCAACATAGCATTGACTGAAAGATTTTCTCGTGTACCACTGACTTCTAGAGATGCAACTCAGGCAGTGGTGGGATTCATCCAGTTCACATCAGTTCGGCAGAACCGGTAGCTAATTTTTTCTTGCCCAAGCTCAGAATGGACTTCCGGAAGCGGCATCCACACAGAGAACCAGTTTTTCTCATATTTGAATCCCAACCACTGGTTGGGGGCACAGGGCATCATCTATCTTTACAACAGAGAGGCTACATGAATTTGTAAAAGAGGAATATCAAAGTGTGTAACGACAACTAAATTCAAAGCAAACCCATGTAAGGGCAGGACCTCTAAACCAGGGGTCCCCAACCCCTGGTCCGCAGACCGGTACCGGGCCACAGAGCAACAAAGATGATTAGGAGACTGGAGGCTAAAACATATAAGGAACGGTTGCTAGAATTGGGTATGTCTAGTTTAATGAAGAGAAGGACGAGGGGGGACATGATAGCAGTGTTCCAATATCTCAGGGGCTGCCATAAAGAAGAGGGAATTAAGCTATTTTCCAAAGCACCTAAACCAGTGGTTCTCAACCTTTCTAATGCTGCGACCCCATAATACAGTTCCCCATGTTGTGGTGACCCCCAACCACTTATACATCACTGGGTGCCAGGGGCGTGGCCAAAGAAAAGGGGAAAAAATGGCGGACAGCCTTATTTGGCGACCCCCATGAAATGGTTGTTCGACCCCAAATGGGGTCCCGACCCACAGGTTGAGAACCACTGACCTAAAGGCAGGACAAGAAGCAACGGGTGGAAACTAATCAAGGAGAGAAGCAACCTAGAACTAAGGAGAAACTTCCTTAGTGAGAACAATTAACCAGTGAGAACAATTAACCAGTGGAACAGCCTGCCTCCAGAAACAGTAAATGCTCCAACACTGGAAGTTTTTAAGAAGAGACTGGACAGCCATTTGTCCGAAATGGTGTAGGGTACAGCCATTTGTCCGAAATGGTGTAGGGTTTCCTGCCTGAGCAGGGGGTTGGACTAGATGATCTCCAAGGTCCCTTCCAACTTTACTACTATTACATATTACTGGTACTGGGCCACAGCATGCCAGCAACCGGTCCACACAAAGAAGCAAAGCCCCATCAGTGGGATGCAGGCAGCAAAGAAAACCACGCACTCTCTGGTCCATGGAAAAACCTCTCTCCACGGAACCGGTCCCTGGGTGCCCCAAAGGTTGGGGACCTCTGATCTAAACTTCTATAGCTTTTCTACCTGACGGAAGTTCACACTCATCAAACTTTAAAAAGGTTGTGATTTTTGCTAAGGTTTTCTGTCCCTCTTCTCAGATCTCGGTTTACACCAGTGGTTCTCAACCTTTTTAATGCCGCGACCTCCAACCAGTCGTAAGTCGAGGACTACTCAACCGGTCGTAAGTCGAGGACTACTCAACTGGTGCAGCACCGTTTGCAGAATGGGACTTTTGGCGGGCTCAGCAGGGCAGAGACAGCCCGGACAATTCCTATTGGCTTTTGAAAGCCAATAGAATTAGACTCTAATAGATTCAAGAGAGTCTATTCTATTGGCTTTCAAAAGCCAATAGAATAAAAGGGAGTAGCACAGCTAAGGAAAAGGGGAAAAAAAATGGCGGACTGTGTTGTTTGGCGACCCCCGTGAAATGGTCATTCGACCC